CCCCCCCCCCCCCATATATCTGCTTGATTTTGAGACATTATAGACCTTTAAAAGGTATTAACATTGTCAAACTGCAGACAGGTAGTTTCAAAGATTTTTCACCTAGGCACCTTCAACTCTTTTTTTTTTCTGAACAAGTCCCAGTTTTAAATCATGTACACCAGATTAGTGCTCAGTTGCCAATTCACACTGGCACTGTCCCTTTTAGTACTGGATGCAATGTCCTAGAGCCCTAAGAGCATATCCAAGCTTTACAACTGAAGAGCTAGATAGTTACAAAACTGCAGGGAGCACAACAGCTACCAAGCAGTGGCAGAGGTGGGTGGGCAGGTAGACTAAAAACAACAACAACACAACAGCACAGCAGAGTAGAAGACACTTAGAGCAAGGACACTTCTTTCATGAAGGAAAGTGTCCTTATTTGGTGGCACCATGCTAGAGCCCTTTTGCGCGATCGGCTTCACATTTAAGTGAACCTACTGTAGCTATCTATGATTGTGTACAATGTTTTGGAGCTATAATGGATCTATTGATGGTGACTGCAGAGTGCCATAAAACAGTTGTCCTTCCCTTCCACAGTGTCTAACAAGGATGGCCTGTGTTTATCTTTAGAACTGAATTCCTCCCTCTCCTTCTCCCCCTCCCCACCTGCAGCTGAGTGGAGAAATTCAAATTGCCTTGGCTGAGGCACTGTTACTTTTATTACTTAAGCAAGCAAAAACAAACAAACAAAGGGGACACCATTCTGAACATCAAATTTCTCCCTGAAGTGTGTGTCCTGTTCTTTTGCAAATGAAGTATTTGCAGATTCTCACACCTCAGTCGAGCAGGTGCAAGATTTCAGAGGAAGTAAATATTTGAGCTGAGCATTGAGAAAACCAAAAATTTTACACTTTTAATGAAAAGCAATGCACTTGCATCACATCCCTATTGTGAAGTTGTTTCATGATTCAGCTAAACAAATGATCAGAAGTAATAGTAATAAGACCCAGAGTGTCGAAGAGGGGTTGCAGACTGCCAGAAATAGTGCAAATTGAGTCCACTT